GCGAATCTGTGAACGTTTGTTCTATGCAAATAGTGGCAATCACGAACATTCTTCGAATATTTTCTTTTCAGGCGGAATGTAATGTAATATGGCCACTAGATGGAGCTGAGGAGCATAAGAAAGAACGACTTATTTCCTATGTTCCTCAGCTCCACCTATTGGCCTCAATGCAGTATTACATTGCATTACATATGACTTGAAAAGAAAATATACTAAGAACATTTGTTTTGCCTTTATTTGCACAGAACGAACGTTCACACAGATTCGCAAGGTGAATAACTCTGCCAATTGTTTATAAATAGATCACACAGTGTCCAGAGAGTCCAGAGACAGCCTTCACAGCTATCGCAAGGATTTACAAGTTGAGTTCAATGCTCCTTGTACAGTTAATTTAAAGCACATGAAAAGCCCACAAGTTTTTTCTTTAGTTTTGGGTAGAGTAGGGAAGGGTAAAGACGTGTATGTTATTTTTTGCCGTCCCTTCCCCGGCTGGGGAGATTTCCCTTGAGAGGAAATATCTCCAAAGTAAACACCTTCTAAGGGCCCATTCACACCAGACGCTGCGTTAAGCGCACAGAGTCTGGTGTGTGGTGCCCCAGCACAGTGCAGATGCGCTGATCCCAGCACATTGCACTGTTTTCTGTTTTTTTTTTGGTAGAACTTAATTGAAATTACATTTCATTCTGTTCTGCGGGCACAGCCAGGTGCGAGGCAGTTGTTGTACTGCTTTGCATCCTGCTGTGCTGAAAAAAAGTAAGTACAGGATGTAGCACTTTTTTCAGCGCCCACCATCGTGTTTCACATCCCAACGAGGTGGTGTGAACGAATCCCGTCCCTGACAAGGCAAAATAACTTGTCCTGCATTGGGGCTGCGATGAGCTCAACAGTCAGCACAGCCCCAACGCACCTGGTGCGAAAGGACCCTTAAAAGGACTGTCACAGAAACAGGTGTCCCCATTCAGGGATTTTTTTCCCACCGCTTGCTCTGGGATGTTGGATTTTCCCTCATTTTCCGAGACAATGTTCATCAGAACAAATAGATGGGTAAATATTTACAGCTGGGACAGACAACAATAAAATATTGACAGGGGATCTAACCCTTCCCTAGCCAAAACTAAAGAAAATTCCTTTAAATACACTTTCAATTATACTTTTAAAAAACAACATCCCCTAAACGTAAAGCCATCCGCGGGTATGACTTCAGGGCAAAGAGTGTGTCAAGAATAGTTGCTGAAATGTTGGGATCTATGGCAGAGCTACATTCTTTGGTGGCAACATACAAAATATGCCAGTGAATGAATAACCCAAAACAGCATCTACAGGAAAAAAGAAAATGAATATATATATATAT